GAGCTCCTTCTCCTTGGTGGGACTCAGCATCCGCTTGGCCTGCGGGCCCTGGTCGTCAGAGGACTCCGAGGGAGGACGGAGAGTGCGGATGCTCTCAGGACTCACCTTGCCGGAAGACAACCTGGACCACAGGGGAGAAAAAACGAGAGAGGGGTCGGTCACCGGAGGGGAAAGGATGTGATCTTGCCCAGAAGAGCCACCAGCTGGATCCAGAAAACAAAGTGCTACCAGCTCTCAAAAGAGGAACCGCTGGGAGAAATTTGGGGGGTGCTAACCAGGACAGCGGAGCCTTGCCCAGCCACGGCACAGGCCAGAGGACCAGCAGCAGCGCACATCCCTGCTCCTTGGGAATGGAGCTCAGTATGCTCAGCATCCTCCCCAGGGCAGGCAGCTCCCACCAACCCCTTGCAACAAGCTCCACAGCCCCAGCGAGATGAAAGACAAGATCCAGGGCTCACTCGCAACTCCTTCAAAAGTTCCCTACGTTCACCTGAGCTATCCATGCCCGGGAAAGCCCTTGGCAGGAGGGACATTAGGCAAACGTCCCCTCCTGCAGAACTCAATCTCCCTGGGAGATGCTGACAGATCATTCCAAACCAATTTTTCCCCTGGTCTCAACAAATTTAAGGCTGAGCACCTCAAAAGGCAGAGGGCATCAGAACAGTTCACTCATCCTTAGCCAGAGCCCTCAGACAAACAGGACTGCAAGGCGATAAGCAGCAAATCCTACCAGGACGGTGCAGACATGGTTATTACAGTGCAGTGGACACACCAGAAGAAAGCAAGATTAAGATCCACCAGCACCAGGATGTTTTGCAATGGACCAGCAGCCAAAGCATACGAGGCATCTCAGGCTCCCGTGCGGAAGATGCTCCCGCTGATTAGCAGCTGTTTGCTTTCGATGGGCTCTGCAAGCACCACGTTCCACCACCTTTGGGCATGTGTGGAAAGAGGCTTCAGTGGGGCACTCCTCATGTGAAGAGATCTGCGTGTGAGGCTCTCTGAATTTCCCAAGAGAAACAGAGCCAGCAGCAAATGACTCAAACTAGACCAAGCTTGCACAGGCAGTTTGAGTCTAGCCAGTCTTCTAAGGAGCCCCCTTCAAGCTGTGATTGAGTCCCACCAGTCAACTCCAGCTTTGGTCCACGTCCACAGACCCAACAGGGTCAGCTTTTAAAGTTTGCTGCGTCTGTCCCTGCTGCTTTCTGCTCCAAAGCCCGTTTGTCCCTCGCGAGCCACCGTGTTCCCGCACATTCGGGGAATGCCAAGACCAACTCGTTAGAAGCAACCAAGGCCAGACATTTCCATTTGAGCCTTGCAACTACGGTAGGAAAAGGCACCTTGAAGACCCACAGCCTGGTGTCACGTCTAATAATGATACTTACGGGGACTCCAAACTCTTCCTGCAGTGGGTTATCGAGAGAGGAGGGTCTGGAAGAGAATAAAAAGGGGAAAGAAGAGAGAACGCTAAGGAGGCGCAACATGACAGAGACAAGACAAACTCAACATCAAGACAACAAAAAGACACTCAACAAGAGGCCAAGGTTTCATTGCTCCAGTGCTTTAATGGTTGCTGACAACAAACAGCTCCCGTCACAGGGTCCTGCCCGTCCTGCTGCCGCAGCCTCACAGGCTAGAGGAGAAGGAGCCGATTCCCCTGCCCTCTCCAGCTCCCCAGCCCCCCTTTTCCCTACCAGCCGCTCCTGCAACATAGCAGCAGTCCCAGCTTCTGGGAAGGAGAGCCAGCTCCAGGGGGGGGGACTTCAGGGAGGTGAGTGATCCTCCCCATCTCTGGCCCAGAGGACACCACAGCCCTAAAGCCCCAGCTCTAGGAGTTATCACCACGCAAGAGCGCTCCCTCGGAATTCCCAGGCTAGTTTCTCTGTCGCCTCTTCACCCACCCTGCCTCTCCCGCTCCCGACCACGGGCACTTTCAGGCACTGGCGAGGGATGAAGTCAGGGCTTCACCTGAGGACGCGCACAGGCGGAAGAAGAGACAGACAGGGAAGAAGGTTACCACCACAACACATCCAGGGAGGAGAAATGAGGAGGAGAGGGAAGGGAGGAAGGAAGCCAGCACACCAGGAATGGGCTCACCTTTCTTGCGCTTGAGCTTGCGTTTGCGTTGCTTGTTGACGAAGCAGGCAGCGAGTGTGCTGAAGAGGATGGCAGCAGCCAGGAAGCAGATGGTGGCAACGATACCAGCCAGCACCGGGCGGGCTAGACCCTCGTCCGTCAGGTCAGGCTGAGGAAATACGTCTGGGGGAATAAGAAACGACCATCGGGTGTTATACACACGCCTCCAGTGTGCTGCCTTCCCCGGGGACCTGCTGCAGCACAGAGGGCAAAGCTCTCTTGGTGCAAGGCAACTTGCTCATTCCTG